AGTAGAGCCCCGAGCGATGTGCCGAGTCGTCCCCCTGCGACTTCATGACGGGCCGACTGCCGCTCGAAGTGTCGGCGACGAGCAAGAGAACGTTGAGGTCCCCGCCGACGCTCTACTGGCGTCCAGTTACAAAGCCCAAGGCTCGCTGCCGCCTGGGTTCGGGTTGCCAGTGTGCATGAAGGAGCCCCAATGACCGTGCACGTTGGTCGAGACGGCGCCCTGGACCGAGGTACTGACGTCCTTCCGCAAGAGGAGCTTGACGTCGTCCCTGTCGCGAGGTGAGAGAGGTCCAGGGCCGAGTCGGCGTCCAGAGGAGCAAGGAGCGAGAAGTGAACGCACTGGTGCCGGACGCTGCGGGCGCAGTAGTCGCTCTCGCCCTCGGCGTGCTTTGAGATGCCGAGGTGGAACATGATCGAGAGGCAGGAAGTCAGGCGAATCGGAGGGCGAGGCCCCCCGTGTGACCCCCCCCCCCCCCCCCCCCCCTCCTGTCTGCGTGTCTGTGCAGCTCACTGAGGCTGCCCCGCCTGCAGGCACTCGGACATCGACGGCCAAGACGTCACCTCGGAGGACATGCTTACCCTCGGCGGGCTCGACCTCACCAACTACTTCCCGATGTGCGTCCTCTCTTTCACTTGATCGAGTCGTCGACGTCGAGCCGTACTGACCGAGTCACCGTGTCCCCTCGAACAGCCCGCTCACGCAGGCGTGCCCGACGCTCGTCACCGACAACACCCTCTCGCTCCAGTACGAGGTACGCCGCTCTCGTCTCGCTCTCCCTCCTCGAGCGTCACTGACACTCTCGAGTCGGCGCACGCAGAACTTCACGGCCGAGGTGTCGACCGCCGTCCACACGTCCGGCTCGCAGCAGGCCAACACGGGCTCGGCGCTCCACAGCGAGTCGTGGTACTTTGACACGTTCCTGCCCAAGATGAAGCACTACCACAAGGGTCCGCTTGTGTGGAGCAAGGGCAAGATCAGCGACGAGGCGAGCGACGCCGGGCGGCAGTGGGCCATCGTCAACGGCAGCGTCTACGACCTGACCGACTACTTCTACACGGTGCGCCCCGCAGCCCTCGTCCCTCCTCGTCCTCCTCCTCACTGCACCCGGGTGACTGACTCTTGCCCGGCTCCAGATCGACCTGCTGCGCGACGACAAGTACAGCTTCCTCGACGAGGACCTCGCCAACCTGTGGACGGCGCAGCCCGGCGGCGACTTGACGGGCCCGATCAAGGACCTCGGCCTCGACTGGAACGTGCTCGACACCAACATGGCCTGCATCCAGACGCTGTTCTACAAGGGCGAGACCGACTTCCGCAAGTCGGCGCGGTGCCAGTTCCAGCCCAACATGCTCCTCGCGTTCGGCGTCCTCATCATGGCGACCATCCTCACCAAGTTCCTCGCCGCGCTCCAGTTCGGCTCGAAGCGCATGCCCGAACAGCGCGACAAGTTCGTCATTTGTGCGTCCATCTCTCCCTCACCCTCCTCCCTCGCCCGTCCTGACCGACCCGGCTCGTGCTCGCGCTCGCAGGTCAAGTGCCCTGTTACACCGAGGGCGAGGAGTCGCTCAAGAAGACGATCGACTCGCTCGCGACGCTCAACTACGACGACAAGCGCAAGCTCATCATGGTCATCTGCGACGGCATGATCGTCGGCGCCGGCAACGACCGCCCGACGCCGCGCATCGTGCTCGACATCCTCGGCGTCGACCAGACGGTCGAGCCCGACCCGCTCATGTACAAGGCCGTCGCCGAGGGCTCGAAGCAGCTCAACTACGGCAAGGTCTGGAGCGGCCTGTACGAGGTCGAGGGCCGTGCGTCGCCCGCCCGCCCGCCCGCCCTGTCCTCCTCTCGTCGCACCTCACTGACTCGCTCCTCTCCCTGCAGACGTCGTCCCGTACATCGTCGTCGCCAAGGTCGGCCGCCCGTCTGAGCGCTCTCGTCCGGGCAACAGGGGCAAGCGCGACTCGCAGATCCTCGCCATGCGCTGGCTCAACCGCGTCCACTTCGACTCGGAGATGTTCCCGCTCGAGCTCGAGATGTACCACCAGGTCAAGAACGTCATCGGCGTCGACCCGCAGCTGTACGAGGTGCGTCCTCGCTCCCCTTCTCGCCCGCCCGTCCACCCCGCCTGACAGTCTCGCCCTCGTGCAGTTCATGTTCGTCATCGATGCCGACACGTCGGTCGCTCCCGACTCGCTCAACCGCCTCGTCGCGGCGGCGGCCGACGACTCGCAGATCATCGGCATCTGCGGCGAGACGAGGCTCGAGAACGAGCAAAAGTCGTGGTGGACCATGATCCAGGGTGCGCCCACCCTCTCCCTCTCAGCCCCTCCCGAGACGAACCACTCACCGTCGTCGATGCCCGCAGTCTACGAGTACTTCATCTCGCACCACATGGCCAAGGCCTTCGAGAGCCTGTTCGGCTCGGTCACCTGTCTGCCCGGCTGGTGCGTCCCGCCCTCTCGCCGCCCTTTCCTTGACCTCGGACCTGACTCAGGAGACGCACGCATGCAGCTTCACCATGTACCGCATCCGGTCGTCGGACAAGGGCAAGCCGCTCCTCGTGAGCTCGCTCATCATCGACGACTACTCGGACGGCAACCTCGACACGCTGCACAAGAAGAACCTGCTCGCGCTCGGCGAGGACCGGTACCTGACGACGCTCATCCTCAAGCACTTCCCGACGTACAAGACCAAGTTCATCCAGGACGCGCACGCCATGACGGTCGCCCCGCACTCGTGGAGCATCCTCCTGTCGCAGCGCCGTCGCTGGATCAACTCGACCGTGCACAACCTCGCCGAGCTCATGTTCCTGCCCAACATGTGCGGCTTCTGCCTGTTCAGCATGCGCTTCGTCGTCTTTATCGACCTCCTCGGCACCATCATCCTCCCTGCCACGTTCGTGTACATGGTGCGCTCCCCTCCTCTCTCTCTCTTCCTCCCCGTCCCGCTCGTGCCGACCCTGACACGCCTTGCGCGCCTGCAGATCTACCTCATCGTCACGGTCGCGACCGGCGGCGGCGCCGTTCCCGTCATCGCCATCGTCATGATCGCCGCCGTGTACGGCCTGCAGGCCATCATCTTCCTCCTCAAGCGGCAGTGGCAGTTCATCGGCTGGCTCCTCATCTACCTCGTGCGTCCTCGTCGCTCTCGATCCGCCCGAGGCGAGCCTCCCTGACCTGTCCTTCCCTGCCCGCCTCCAGATCGCCTACCCGGTGTACAGCTTCCTCCTGCCCGTCTACTCGTTCTGGCGGTTCGACGACTTCTCGTGGGGCAACACGCGCGTCGTCGTCGGCGAGGGCGCCACCAAGAAGGTCCTCCAGGCCGAGGACGAGGCGTTCGACGAGTCGACGATCCCGCTCGCCAAGTTCTCCGACTACGAGGCCGCCCTCGCCGACGAGCACTTCGACACGCGCTCGGAGAAGTCGCACTCGACGGCGGGCTTCTCGCTCGCGACCCGCCTGCCGCAAGGCGCGTACCAGCGCTCCGAGTTTGCGCCTCCGTACGGCGGCGGCAACGGCGGCGAGCTGCACTCGCGCCACGCATCGCGCTCGACGATGCAGCTGCCGCAGATGCCGCTGCAGGGCTACGGCGGCTACCCGGGCGCGCCGGGCAGCATGTACGGCGGCGCCGTCGGCGGACAGGGCAGCGTCGTGGGCGGCGTCGGCGGCGGCAGCGAGTTCGGCTACCCGATGTCGGTCAACCCGTACATGGGGGCCGCAACGCTCCAGTCGCAGATGAGCCTCGCCGGTGGCTTCGCGCCGCAGGTGCCGCCGCCACCCATGTCGAGCCTCCCTCGTCGCCAGTCGGGCATGTCGGCCTTCTCGTACGGCGCGCCCGGCACAATGGGCGCGCAGAGCGTCTACTCGATGAACCCGTTCGCCAACCCGCCTGCACCTGTCGCGAGTGACGACGCCGACCCGAGCGACGAGGCCTTGTTCGCGACGCTCCAAGCCTACCTCGCCGGCCAGGACCGTGCGTCCTTCTCTCCCTTCCTCCCCTTCCTTCTCTGCGTTTCTGTATTGACGAGCTTGCTCTCTCGCCTCTCGCAGTCATGAACCTGTCGAAGCGGCAAGCTCGCGACGGCCTCGCGGCACTGTTCCCCAAGGCCGACCTCTCGAGTCGCAAGGCCAAGGTCAACGAGATGATCGACGGCATCCTCTCGGGCGCCATGTAGCCGTACCATCTCTCTCTCTCTCTCTTTCTCCTCCCCTGCGTCACGACCCACGATCTAGACAGACACTCGAACCCTCTTCACGTCCACTCTGCACCTCTCTCTCTACCTCTTTGCGTCTAATCAAGGACACTGCACATGACTTGCGTTCCCTTCTGCGCCGTGCTACGCATGAAGAGAGGAGAGCGTCAGAGCCGAGCATGTGTAAGGCGAGCTCGAAAGAGAGGAGAGCCACCGTTCGACGACTCCCCCACCTCGAGGAGGAGCAGGTCTCTGAATTCGTCCTCACGCGCTCTATCCGCCAGGGCCCGCATGTCAGACCGTCTGAGCGACACTCTGAGCTCGCTCGAGCTCACAGCGTCCGACTCTGCGCTCGACCTCGCCCTCGTCCTGTCCGCCCTTGAGTCGAGCACCGCGCCCAATTCGCAGGACGTTGCAGACGAGCTGCAGTCGCTCGCCGCCATCTACGACAACCCTGAACCCTCCCTGTCGCTCTACCGCCCGCCGCGCACTGCCCGCACCCAGTCGCCGCCGCGAGAGTGGACGCCTTCATCAGCCGACCCTCTCAGACTCGTCCTGTCGACCACCCTCGCCCCGCCGCACGAGGCGATCCCGCTCCACCTCCTCCTGTCCCTCCCGCGAGGCTACCCTGCCGACGAGCCGCCCCTCCTCCAGCTCCAAGACCGATACCTCGGCTCGTTCGCGGTGGGCGACAGCCTCTTCGGCGAGGTCCTGCGCACCTACATGCACGACGCCGAGGCCGGCGTCGCAGGTGCAGGCGTCGAGTGGACCGGCGGCGTCTGCCTGTTCGAGGGCGTCGAGCTCGTGCGCGAGACGTGCGCGCGGTGGGTCGGCGAGCGCGAGGACGAGCTGCACAGGGGCGAAGCGGCGCGACGAGCGGCGGGCGAGGAGAGCGCGAGGGCGAGGAACGGGAACGGGGCCGGCGAGGACCATGCAGAGGAAGGGCGGCGACGAGACGAGGCGGAGAGGCGGCGAGCGGCGGAGGAGCGTGCGGCGAGGAAGCGGGCAGAGGTGCCCTGTCCGCCCATCACCTCGTCCGAGGCACTCGTCGACCGTGGCTCGGTGCGTCAGGCGCTCTCTCTCACACTCGCTCGTCCTCGTCACTGACTTGCCGTTCCTGCAGGTCTTTGTTGGGCACGCCGCCAAGGTCAACTCGCTCGAGGAGGTGCGTCTCTCTATGTATCCTCTAGGCTCGGACAGAGGAGCGAATACTGACGACTCATTGTGCAGGTCGACGCCGTCATGGATTCGCTGTTGAGCAACAGCAAGATCGCTCGAGCAACGTGCGTCCCTCCTTGTCCTCCCTCGAGACGCCCTCCCTCCCTCGCCCCTCGGTCCTGACGCGCACTCTCTTTCCTCGTGACCGTCGACACAGACACAACATCTCGGCGTACCAGTTCACGACCGAGGGCGGCACCCGTCATGCCGACAACGACGACGATGGAGAGTCGGCTGCAGGCAGTCGGCTCGCCCACCTCTTGACGCTCCTGGTGCGTCCTCTTTCTCTCTCCAAGGTCGAGGAGACGATCTTTTTCGGCCTCGAGATATGCGGCGGCGTCGGCTGGGCCGCAGCAACCTCGTCGACAGCGCGCGAGCTAACTCTCTCTTTCCTCGACCGACTTGCAGGACGTGTCGAGCGTCATGGTCGTCGTGACGCGCTGGTATGGCGGCGTACATCTCGGGCCCGATCGGTTCAAGGACAGTGTGTCCACCCGTCGCCTCCCTCTCTCTCTCTCCCCCTGCGAGACGGACTGACCTCTTCGCCACCCCCTCCCTCCCTCCTTACGCAGTCAACCAGGTGCGCCTACCGCCGCTCGCCCCACTCGGACTCGTACGAGGCTTCTGACACTGACAGTTGCGCGCAGGCTGCCCGAGACGCCCTGGTCGACGCAGGTTTCCTCCCCGACCCCGAGGACAAGAAGGGAAAAGGCGGCGGCGCAAAGGGCGGCAAGAGGCGGTAGATGCGAGGTAGACGAGCTCCTCTACAATACGAGCGTCGGCGTGCAGCCAGACGAGCGCTTTTCGTCAGAGCGGGCCCGAGCGAGCCAGCCACCGGGACGAGCGAGCGAGAGAGAAAGCGCGAGAGGTTCGAGGCGAGGTAGCTCGACAGGCGGACGGGCGAGAGTGCCCAGCTCTGGCAGGGGTACATGGCGCTTCGACTGGCAGGCTACAGAGCTCTGGCGCGAGCTGGAGGAAGGCGACCGCCGCCGAGAGGGATCGCCGCGCCCTTGTCCTCCTCATCAACCTCGCCCTCGTCAGCTGTCGCCCGCACGAGTGCTTGCTTCCGCTCAGCCCAACGACCACCCGTCCAGCTCCCACACTGTGAGTCCCGCACGCCTTCTCGAGCTGTCGTCGTCGTCGCGCAGCCCCCTGATTCCCTCGGCGGCACCCCCACCTTGCGCAGCTCCCGCCTCTTCAGCACCAAGCGCCGGCGCAAACATGTCCTGGGCAGGAATCAAGAAGGCGGCCAGCCGCGCGGGCACCCAGATCTCGCAGAAGATCGGTCAAGTCGAGCGCACCGACGACTCGGCGTTCACCCACGAGGCGGCTCGCTTCAAGGAGTGCGTCCCTCGTCCGCGAGCCCGATCTGGTGCGCACAAACTGACCCTACCGATGACCCCACAGGCTCGAGAAGAACGGCAATGCGCTGCACAAGGACGCAAAGGCGTACCTCGACGCCGTCCGCTCCGTCTCGGCCTCGTCGACTCGGATAGCCACGACCATCGACATGTTCTTCGGTACCGACTCGGGCGAGCAGGCCATCTCGGCCAATGCCTACAAGCGCGCCGTCGAGGAGCTCGAGGGCGACATCGCCCGTACCATCGTGCGCTCCCTCCCTTCCTCTTCTCCTCAGGTCGGTCCGCCTACTGACCCCTTTCGCGCCCATGCAGGATGCGCCTTACCGCGCGACCGTGCTCGAGCCGATCGGCAAGATGTGCGCACACTTCCCCGAGGTCAACAACGCCATCGCCAAGCGGCAGAAGAAGGTGCGCCTCTCTCTCCTCTCCTTCCTTCTCTTCACGTCGCACCGTGCTCATCGCTTCGCTCCTCTTCCACAGCTCCTCGACTACGACGCGGCTCGGTCCAAGTCGAAGAAGCTCGGCGAGAAGGCCAATGCCGAGCCAATCTCGCTGCGTGCGGTGCGTCCCTGCCCCTTTCCCGTCGACCGAGTGTTCCTCCCTGACTCGCTACACCCCTCGCAGGCCGAGAACGAGGAGGAGCAGGCGCGCGAGATCTTCCAGGCGCTCGACGGTCACCTGCGAGAGGAGCTGCCGCAGCTCATCGACCTGCGCGTCCCGTACCTCGAGCCGTCGTTCGAGTGCATGGTCCGCAAGCTCTCCCTTTCCCGCCTTTCTTCTTACCCGTCTGACACGGTCACTCCCTGCGCAGATCCGCCTCCAGTCGCACTTTGCGACAGACGGGTACAACAAGCTGGGAGGAGTTCAGCGCTACTTTGCCGACGGAGTGCGGGAGGACTACGCCTCGGGCGCGCTCGACGCTCAGGTGCGCCCCCCTCCCTCTCTCTCTTTCTCTCCCTTTTCCTCCCATGTCGACCACGAGACTGATTCTGAGCCTTGTCCAGGTCGAGGGTGCGCTGCAGGAGATGCGCGAGCTGTCCATCTGCGGGCTGAGCGCGTAGACACTGGCGCTTTGTCCCTTTCCTCCCCACTCTCGCCTGAGGCGTTCCTTGAGCTGTATGAAATACCTTGAGCCGTGTGTGCATCCCGCAGGAGAGCGAGAGCGAGAGGGTGTCGTCGTTGCCTCGGATCCGCCTGCTCGCGAGCGGGCCGTCTCTCGCGCTCGACCACACCTCTCGCCGCCGGCCCGTTCCACCACCAGTCGAGCGCGCCAGAGAGCTTGCGGGATGCGCGGAGGATGCACCGTCGTTTACCCTGTCTCGTCCGCGCCGCCTGCCCCTCGTCCGCGACACCGTCTCCTCCCCCGCCCCGCCGCGCCTCGACTCGCGCCGCACAGCGCTCGGGCAGCACAGCGCACAGCGAGGGCGACCATGCCGCTGTGCCTGGACCGTCTCGCCTCCCGCACACGCCGACAAGCGCCCTCGCCAGCTCGCCCGAGCTCTTCCCTCGACGCGCCGACAACTTTCTTCGAGCCGACCCGACCGCTCTCGAGGCGCGCACGCTCGTCCAGCAGCTGCGACAACGGCGCGAGGGCAGGGCGGCGCACGCGGCAGGTCCCGCAGGCGGGCGAGTCGGGCCTGCCGTCAGCTCGTCCGCCGGGCCCAAGTCGGCTTCGCTCGCGGCGGCGCAGCTCGGCACGCAGGGCACCGGCGCAGGAGCAGCGTCGTCGACCAAGGGCAAGGCGAGGCGTCCACCCGCCACCGCCGTCTCGCAGCACGACTTTGCCTCCTTCCCGCGCTTCGGCAGCACCTCCTTCGCGCCGGCACACCTCGCCTCGGCCGACTCGCTCCTCGCCCAGCCCCTTCCCTCGACTGAGCCCGCCCTGTACGACTTCCTCCGCCTCGCGCACACGACCCACCCGGGCGTGCCCACCTCCTGGCTCGCCTGGTTCCACGCCCACCCTCGCGTCGCACCCCTCGCCTCGACTCGCACCTACCGCCTCCTCCTGCACCGCGCCTCGACCACGACCGACAAGGCGCTCGTGCGCACGCTCCTGAGCGAGATGCAGGAGCGCGGGCTCGGCCTCGACGACGAGACGAGGCGAGTCCTCCTGAGGGCGTACCTCCGAGGCGGCGACGACGAGCGCGCGCTCGAGGTCGTGCGAGGCCTGCGGCGCTCGGTCGCCAAGGGCGTCGTCCTCGAGGCGACGAAGCCGCGGGACCTGGGCGAGGGCGCCAAGGGGCGGGGCGACGTGCGGGTCCAGTGGAAAGGGTGGGCGGTGCGCGAGCGGGACAAGCGCGCGGAGGAGGAACGACGAGCGGCGGCGGCGGCGGCGGCGGCGGTCGAGCTCGTGCCTCGAGGGACGTCGAAGCGGCGCCGGCAGCGCCCGAGTGCGGCGGCGATGGCGGCCGCCGCCGCCGTTCACGCACGCGTGCCGCCCCGAGGAGCGGCGCTCGTGCCCGCTCGGCCCGACAGCCTGTCGAGCTCCGACATCGCGACGCTCATCGAGTGCCTCGGCCAGGAGCGTCGTCACGCCGAGGCGTACGGGCTCGCCGAGACGTGGCTCGCGGCCAACCGGCCGCCGGCGCAGGGCGGTCGGGCCTCGTCGTCCTCGCCGCCCGTTCAGTCACACCGAGTCGCCGCCGAGTACAACTCGACCGCCCTCGTCCTCATGAACACGCTCCTCAAGTCCCTCTTCTACGAGAAGCCCTCCCCGTCGTCGGTCCGCACCTTTATCGACACGTTCCTCGTCAAGCACTCGGCGCCATTCCCCGCCGTTCCCCTCATGCCCAACGTCGTCACCCTGCGTCTGCTCGTCTCGGGCTGTCTCGGCGCCGACGACGCGTGGGACCGCGCGACGGCCCTGGTCGACTGGCTCGGGTACCGGTTCGGCCTTCCACCCTCGGACGGTCGCCTCACCGGCCGCCGCCGGTACTTCGTCCCGCCGACGCACGTCGAGGGCAAACGTGTCGGGGCCGCCGAGCCGTCCCTCGGCGTCGTGTCGACCTCGGTCGCGGCGCGCGACCCGGTCCTCGTTCCCCCGCATGCCGTCGTCGCGCCCGACGTCGCCGTCCTCCTTCTGCGACACGCGGTCGATCAGCACGTGCGTCGAACGCTCGGGTACAAGGAGCGAGCGCGGGCCATCCGGCGCTGGTGGAGCGGGTTCGACCGTCGAGGGAGCGACGTGTGGGGGTTCTGGAGGACGAGGCAGCTGGAGGACCGGGCCAAGAGGGTCGGGCTCTTGCGCCCGAAGGTCAAGGTGTCGTCGAGGGTCGTCAAGGAGGGCGAGCAGTAGACGCGCAGGACGCGAGGGAGGAGCTAGACTGGTCGTCGCACTTTCGCATCCTGCACTCGAAACGCAACCGCATTCCCTATCTCTCCTTCGCTCGCGTGCTCTTTGGCTAGGCGCATAGTCTCATACGTGAGTCAGAGCTGCTAGCTACAGAAGAGCTGTTCTGCTCTCGCCTCCCAAGCTCTCGACCAAGACTCGCTCCACGTCGGTCGAGTCTCTCGTTCCACCGCTCTCGGCTCGCCAGGCTCGAGCTTGAGCACGCTCTATCACCAGTTCGCCCTGCTACGGCACCACCACGCTCCTCCCGCCTGCCTGCCGCGTGGCACCCTCCCCCGACTTCCATCTCCACCTCGTGGACGAGTCGATGGAGCGAGTCGACACCGGGCCCTCGGCGCAGACGCGTGGACCTCGAGGGAGCCTGCGGGCTGTGCAGGCACCGTGTCGGCCTGCGTGGCTGGCTCGCCGTGGCCTCGGTAGCTCCGTGCTGGCCGAGAGCTGCGCCTCCGCTTTTGGCGCTGCTGCGAGGACCCGCCGTGGCACGGGAGGCTCGCGGCGTTCTTGCTACCTGTCGAGCAGCTGGCTTTGAGTGCCCTCGCTTCCCGCCGACCAGAATCCGGGCGAGCGAGCGCACCGCCTTCCCGCCGCCAGCCACCGCCGCGGGACCATCGCTCGACCTCGTCCCGGCCGTCCTCGCGCCAGTCGGCGCGCAAGATGCCTCTGCTTCCTCTCCATACCTCGACATCGACCATGGCGCTCGACGAGAAGCCGCTCCTGCCGCACAGCCAGGTTCCGCCGTCGTCGAAAGCGTCCGGCGTTCCTCCCTCCATCGTCCTCAAGCCTCGCCGCACCTCGACGACATCCTCCTTCGCCCGCAACCTCGCCGCCAAGCGCCGATGGCTCGTCGCCTTTGCCGTCTACGCGATCGTCGGCATGGCGTGGCACTCGCGCCTGCCGAGCCTCGTGCGCGAGCTCGACGTCAAGATGCCGGCGGCGCTGTGGCCGCGCCCCTACGCGGCGAGGGGCGGCCGCGTCGTCTACAACGCTCTCGGCGAGCCCTCGAGCTTCAACCGCTCGTTCGCCCGGCTCCACTTTGCGCCCGGCGACGACGAGGACGACCGCGAGGGCAGCACGCCGCTCGGACCCGCCGCCGACGACGCCTACCACCTCTTTCCTCCCGGCGCCGACCCGTCCCTCGCCGAGTACCTGTCGACCCTCGAGACCTTCCTCCGCACCCACTTCCCGCCTGCCGACACGGACGAGTCGGACCCGTCGTCGCTCATCAACGCCATGCGCTCCTACTTCCCGACCTCGCCGACGCCTCGGTGGCCTGCCGGCCTCATCCCGCGCAAGGTGTGGCAGACGGCGCCCGACACCAAGTACTTCGCGTCGCGCGAGTCGAGCACGCGCACCTGGCTCGCCAACAACCCGGGCTGGAAGGTCGAGCGCCAGGACAACGAGGCGGCCGACCGGTGGGTCCTCGCCCGCTTCTCGCTCGGCAAGGAGGACGACGGGTACAACTCGTCAAGGGGCGTCATCGCGGCGTGGGACCGACTCGTCGAGCCGGGCGTGCTCCGGAGCGACTTTTGGCGGTACCTCGTGCTCGCCGTCGACGGCGGCGTGTACGCCGACACGGACGTCGACTGCCTCAAGCCGTTCAACCAGTGGGCCTATGACGCGAGCTGGGAGGGCACGAGGTGCGTCCGCGCTCTCTCTCTCTCTCGCACCCACCCTTTCGGACCCGGGATTGACGAGGCTCGAGCGCTCGCAGACCGTCGGGTTGGCAACCGCCCGCGCTCATCGTCGGTGTCGAGTCGGACGTCGGCAACCGCGCAGACTGGAACCAGGTGCGCCGCAGCTGTTCCTCTCATTCTCTCCAACCGGGCTCGGTCAGTCCCTGACCGCGACCTCCTCTCGCAGTACTGGCCTCGCCCTCTGCAGATCACCCAGTGGACGATGGCGGCCGCTCGAGGACATCCTGTGCTCGTCGACGCGGTGCGCCGAGTCGTCGAGACGGCGCTCATGCCCGAGCAGGAGCAGCCCCGCTCGATCATGGAGAGGAGCGGTCCCAGGTGCGTCCTCCTCGGCGTCTCGCGCCTCTGCAGCCCTCGTTCCCTCTCTGACTCTCGCTGCCCTTGCAGGTCTGTGGACCGACTCGGTCCTGTCGTACCTCTGGGTCATGTACCGCCGCTCGTGGCCGACGTTTCGCGGCCTCGACTCGGACGGCTGGCGCTTTCGAGCGTCGGCCGACGCGTCGCAGCTCCTCATTCCGGCCTGGGCGCAGCTCCTGCCGCACCTGGAGCGGTGGGGCGACGTCAAGGTGCTGAGCATCACGGGCTTCTCGCCCGGAATCGGGTTCGTCCCCCTTCCTCCTCCCTCCCTCTTCCTCTCTCTCTCTCGCCCTCAAACCGCTCACCGACTCGCGTCCGCACCTGCCTGCAGCCACATGGGCGCCCACGACAAGTCGCACCCTGCGGCGATGGCGGTACACGGGTTCGCGGGCAGCTGGCGCAAGCAGCGAGGCGCCGAGGTCTGAGCGCGGGCGCAGCGGGCCGTCTCGCCGTCTCGCGCTCGGCTTTCTTGGGACTTGTCGCGCCGGTCGCGACCTTGGACAGATCGTGCCTGTAGCTGTAACATAGCGAGTGCGGTTCTTGCACCTTGTGCGCAGCGTGCGCGTGGGGGACGAGAGCGGCGCAACCTTCCCAAAGACGAGACGGACGACTGGGCTCCTTGCGCTCGGCTTCGGCTTGCCTCTCGGTCGTCGCTTTCGCGCCCCAGCTGTACATACATGCTCGAGCTCTCGAGCGTGCACGGTCCTTGGACTGGATCGACCGTCGCGGCGAGAATCTGCAGGCTCGCGCTTGCTCGTGCGGTACGTAGGTCGGTGCGTCGATCGAGCAGCTTTCAGGCGATTCTTCCGGCCTCGAGAGTGGAGCGTCAGCTCCGTGGAGCTGAGACATTCCGGAGGCCGACCCGAAAGGGAAGGGCAACC